GTTAAATCACTGATTCTAAGCTTCGCGATGATAGTGTGACCAAACAATAATTTGTAAAATATACTGAACAAGATCTGCACTGACTTGAAAAATCAATATAATTCACATTACATTATTTTTGCGAACACTTAAGTTCTTTAATGTTAATAAAATTGGAAAGTGTAATATATTTGTATTTGAATCGTTGTTTTAAAAGAATTTGAATATTGTGGTATATAATTTAAGCCGTGATTTTATATGTAAGTCGTTAGTATGGTCACTTAAATATTTATTACTATAATCATAAAAATAATATGTGTATACCATTTTTAAATCGCAAATTGCAAAGAATATATTAATATAAATACAATAAGTCGCTTTGAATATTGTATACCTACTAACAGATTCTGGTCATAAAATTTTTATGAATATATATTTATATGTAATTAAATATGAATATGTATTTGTCAATAACCATACACATACACACATATTCATGTTTAATTTCAGCGTAAATAAATCGATCGGAGTTTATTCACAACTTCACGAAAATTATTTTTAATATCGCAACAACCACACACCCATATATACATATATGTATGTATAGTTAAAACAAATGAATGTAAACAGAAATTAGATTTAAATGCCTATGTGCAAACACATACAACAAGAAATTTGAGCTGATATAGTATGTATGTATGCATATAAATTTGATTTTCGAGATCTACAAAGTTCTCAAGCTAATCTAAATATTTGTAGAAAAATCCATGAATTCCGTATTAGACGTATGCATACATGTACAAACGTATGCATGCATGTGTATTAAATATTGTAAATAATATTTTTAAAACCTAATCAGTTGGGAAATAACCTTTGACTTCTCAAAATAATTGCATGTTTCTTTATTGACTGCATGTACGTACGCACGTATGTACAACATTTATATATAAATAAATAAACCAATTTTTACTGAAATTATATCATAAGCAGTATTACAGTAGTATATGTATGTACTTACTATTTTGTCATTTATTATAGTTGCAAAATTAAATTTTCTTGATTAATTTATTAATACAAAGATTTGAAGTGATGCCACTGTTTGGCAAAAAAGATTCTGGCAAAAGGCCCAAGTCGAAGGACACGAAGGAACTAAACAAACAGGTCTCAATTGAAGAGAAATACAATCTGCACGGTCTACTCGGAACGTAAGTAAATAATCTATTAATGTCCTTACATACTTAACAAATTCTACTAAACAAACTAAAGCGGCGCATTTTCCGAAGTACGCTTAGCGGAAAGCAAAGATACGCCGGGCGATCACTTTGCAGTTAAAATCATTGATAAAAAGGCACTGAAAGGAAAAGAGGAATCTTTGGAAAATGAAATACGTGTTCTGCGAAGGTAAGTCTGATTTCGAGATATGTATATATATAGATATAGAAAGCTAAAGCGTAGCAATCGGACACAATCGACTGCATAATGCTCCTTCACATTTATGAAAACATCGACTTTTTAGCAGAAGAAAAATGTGAAAAGGAATAGAATAAGAGAAGCAGAATAGCAAAGTAGAAAGAAGCAGAAAGAAAGAAGGCGGAAAATAAAAGAGGAAAAGGGAACAGGCTTGGAGCTTAGAGGAGAAGAAATTAAGATCGAGAGTAAAAAGATACGAAGGGAGACAAGAAAGGAAGAAGTATAGAAGCGGACAAAATCTGTATTCAATGAAGACTGTCCGAATATATTAAAGGACGTTTATAAGTTTAATATATTTCAAATCTTCTCTGTTGACTACTTACATACACACACATTAAAAATACAAAAGTGATTCGCAAACAGAGAGAGTTTCAAAGGAATACAGTAATATATGAGGGCATTAAGAAATCTCTATTTCTGCTATTCTCTATTTGTATATGTATTATATTTTTCATTATGTTTGCATGATCAGCAGCCCTTATACTTTTTTATTTTATTTTTATCTATGATTGAATAGATAGTTCACTTTATTTTACTCAAGATTAGTTATCTTGTTCAACATTTGTACTGTATTTGTGTTCCTTTTTGTCTTATGTTCTCATTATTTTACTTTGTAAATTTTTCTTCTTCATTTAATCTGCTTTCTTTCTATGTAGGTTTAGTGCAAACCATTTTGATGGCAACAGTCCGAATGGAACGCGGTGAGTTTTGATCCCAATTCAAAAAACTAAAAAAAAAAAACAATTAAAAATATCCCGTTTTTAAGTCAAAAGAGATTTAACTAAATCTTAAATTAGATAGATTTCGTCCGAAATTACCCATAAATTTACTAGAGGGCACCAAACTCAAGTATCCTCAGCAGAGCCTAAAGACAATGAATATTTCAATTTCAATAAATTATTGTGATAAAAGTCTATTTATCTACTTCTTTTGGTTTGTTGTATTTACAGACTCACCCACCCGAATATAGTGCAACTACTTGAGACATATGAAGACAAGGCTAAGGTGTATCTGGTCATGGAATTGTATGCATATTGAACTTAAAACATTCTCATATGAATTAATATAAATAAAGAAAGATATATAAAAATAACTATTTCTATAGGGTAACAGGTGGAGAGTTGTTCGATCGTATCGTAGAGAAGGGCTCATATACGGAGAAGGATGCATCACACTTAATTAGACAAATCTTAGAGGCTGTAGACTATATGCATGAGCAGGGCGTAGTACACAGAGATCTTAAGGTAAACAATCCAAAATATTATTGCATATTATAATATAATATTTTTATTTTGTTATATATATGTTTTTTTGCTATACAGCCCGAAAACTTACTTTACTACAGTCCAGAAGATGATAGTAAAATAATGATAAGTGATTTTGGTTTATCAAAAATGGAGGATTCGGGAATTATGGCAACTGCTTGCGGAACTCCTGGCTATGTGGCACCAGAAGTGCTCGCCCAAAAACCTTATGGCAAAGCCGTTGATGTATGGAGCATAGGCGTTATATCCTATATACTACTTTGCGGATATCCTCCCTTTTATGATGAAAACGATGCCAATTTATTTGCACAAATTCTTAAAGGTGTGTTTAATTATATATTTAGCTTTATCGAGCGATGCGACACGTAAATTCGGCAGTACAAAGACCAACAGAATTCAGTAATAAATCATGCTACAATTCCTAATTTCTATGAAGCTCAATTATTCTGAATCCATTACAAATGGTCATGAAAGCGCAGTAAATCCTAGATCTACTGGTAAAGCATGGATAATTTGCTCAGTTTTCAAGGCTTGGATCGAATAGTTCTGTTTACATAATAGGTATTTCCAAAAATATTTTACTTGTAACAATATATTTTTTTTCAAGGTGAATTTGAATTCGATTCGCCATATTGGGACGAAATAAGCGAGTCAGCCAAGCACTTTATTAAAAACTTAATGTGTGTCAATGTAGAAAAGCGATATACTTGCAAGCAAGCTTTGGGACATCCATGGTAAGTTCAACAAGAGTCTATTTTAAATTTCTATTAATTTTGAATAATATTCGCTTCTAGGATATCTGGTAATGAGGCTAGCAGCAAGAATATTCATGGCACTGTCTCGGAGCAGCTGAAGAAAAACTTTGCTAAGAGTCGATGGAAGGTAAGTTAAACTATTGCCCCTATATATGTATATGTCTCATACTTGCGTCTTGTGCTACTTCTACAGCAAGCATATTATGCCGCAACAGTCATACGACAAATGCAGCGAATGGCGCTTAGTAGCAATAGCAGCGGATCAGCAGATGGCCATTCCTCTCTCAATACATCAACAGCAACAACTGCAACTGCAACTGCAACTGACAATGGAAATGGCCGAAACTGTGTTAAAGATGCCGAAGGCGAAGCAAATGTTGGAGCTATCAAACAATCATCCTCAGCAACGAGCGCGCCGTCTTTAAATGAATCCCCGCACGCAGATATTAAGAATCACCAAAGAATCTCGCCAAATTGTAGTTTCAGTGGCAAAGCAAACTAACATTTTTTAAACAGGCGTATTTAGACCATAAGCACAAAATGAATGCTATATTAAATCTGAGGGATGAACCTGGCGTATCCATAGAGTATTTGGTATACATTTTGCAGCATCATATTTAAATAGTTTGAGGTCAATCACATATATATATATATACCCTGAACCCATTGAAAATGGAAAATCAGGGTATAATTAAAAGTATGTAACAGGCAGACCGCGTAAAGTATATATATATATCTTGATCAAGCTGAGTCGATATAGCCCTGTTCGTCTGTGTAGCAATGCGATTTCAGAAGATATAAGAGCTGGAGGGGTGGAATTCCGCATGCATACTCGTGTATACTATACGTAGTACAAGTAAATCATATTTTGTCGATAAATCACTCGATATGTTTTTATAGAGAATAATCGATAAATTGAATTAATTTTTTCAGCCTAATTTGAACACTTAGACCTTGGAAATTTGCGTTGTATATAAAGTTAACGGATACAAAGATTTTGTAACTTACAGATTTTGGATACCACGCCCCCTTCGCACCCAATTTGTAAAAAACTTTTTTCAAGTACTAGAGACTTGTGCTTTAGAATGTACACACATTATAACAATATGATCAAGCTCTGAAAGTTTCATAAAGATAGTCTTACTACAAGGGATTCAACTAATAAATTCTCATAACATTTCCCTCACTGCAGCGCAGCCCAAGGGCTATCGGTGCTAACTGCGCAGTCAGCAGAGCGCGTGATATACGTGCGTGTGTATGCATAAAAGTGCAGAATGAATAGAATATCAGCTTAGAGGGTTCAGGGTATCTCCCAGTTGAGCAGACTCGACTGGAGCCTCCTTACCTGTTTTTTTTTAATAAAAAAAAGAATTGTTTTGTAAATTGGTTTCTGTAGTTATATGAACTTTAAATAATTTACAACCTATGTATATTTATTAAAATTAAATATTAATGCTTAAATAATTATATATATTATATATTATATTTTCGCAAGCTTTTCGCACTTGTACCCTGTAAAATATTCGTATTGTTGTTTATATCAAATCTAATGAGCTGGAACATTATATCCAAATTACATTTAATATGTAATTAAATCCGAATTAATATGCTTTGATTAACTCGAGCCCTAGTTAATTAAATGTGTATAATTTTTCTATACAACTAAATATGTCTACTAATTGTGAAATCGAAATCTAAAAAGGAAAAAAAAAAAAAAACAAATTACGGCATACAGAGCTAATCATGGATGTCTTTTCCAATTTCTACTATATCGTTACTTCCATTAGTCAACAGTTTTTGCATATTATTAAATTTAAATTAACGTCAGCGATTGAGAAATATGAAATATATATATTTTGCTGGACTGAAAACTATTCTATCTAATAATATATATTATAAACTTGTACATTATATACACTACATACATTATTGCAAAAATTCTATAGAACTATACTCTACACAGCTGAATACCTTCAATTGGTTTTGCATTTCCTATGGTGTATACAAATCGTGACCAAAATGACATCAAGCATTTATTTTTTATTAACTAATAGTTAACAATTGCAATTGGATATACACATACATAGATTGATTAATATTTAATCAGTTATAAATTTCCTCTTGACGCTATTTAAGAAGTTAACTTTTTTTTGTTCCGCTTCTTCTTTTTTTCGGAGCCACTCACTTTTTTCTTAGATACGCAAACGCGACAAAACCAATCTTCATTATCGTTTGGAGCCACAAGTATGCCCACGCATATCCTATAATGTTCAAACATGATAATTATGTAAAAAAGATATTTTTAAGTACACAGACTCACCAATGATACCATGCATCGCATCCGTCGCAACCGATCATGGCGGAGCCATCATCAACTTTTCCACATGCCGGACAAATCCAGATGCGATAGCCATCAGCATCAACATAAGACGAAGGACGACTTAGTTCTGCACTCTGTGCCGTTGTTAGAGTGGGCGTGCCGTCAGATACTTTCGTTGCATTCAATGCTCCACTAGGTCTTGAGCTCTGCTTTAAAGGTGACAATGACAATGAGGACGATGATGACGATGAGGTTGGCTGCATTAATTGTTGGGGTAATAGAACCGAACTAGCCGATATTGTTGATGTGGCCGCATTTGAAGTCCAATTGTTTGCTGTGGCTCCAGTTAGAGCAGATAGAGCTGGCGGCTGGGTACTTATCAGTGGCATCGTCAACGCCGGCGACATCATGGGTGGAATAGCCTGTGTTTTGGTACTAACCGTAGAAACAGAAGCAGATGGGGCCATAGATAAATTCAAATTTTGCGTTTCGCCTAAAACAAGATCACTTATTGAATTACGCTTCATAAAAGTATTTAATTTTAGAATTCTATTGCCTACATTGCTTTGGCTTCGGAGCTCGAGTTACAAGTGGCGAGAATCTAGCCAATTCTGGCGAATGCTCCCTTTTAGTCAATGTGCTTGCCGTCTGAGGAGGGTGTCCCGTTGTATTAGTTACTAGCGCATTATGTTCATGATCCATTCCGTCGACTGTGGGCTGTGAGGGTGTTGATCTTCCACTAAGCTTTAGTGTTAACTTTGGTACGTGGTTAGGTGAGAGGTCTAACTTGGGTGACGCTATCAAATTTGGGGTCATCGGTATTGAGTGACCAACTGTCGATGGAGCTAAAGCGTCGACGTCTCCTCCAACTACTGTAAGACCCACGGCACCTACAGTAATATTTTTTGATTGCTTCATATCACTGCTTCCTCTTCCTTCTCCTGCTTCGTGGTTCTCTTTCATTATTTGTAATCTATCCGTTGGCAACTATAAAACAATTATATATATAAAATAATTTTTTAATTAAATTTAGAAGTGATAATTCTTATTATATAATTTCGTTGATTATTGATCATGTTTGTTGAGAAATCGAAAAGTTGTCTCAAAAAAGGTTAGCAATGATCTTTAAACGAATATAATTACTTGCATGCCTTTGATAAATATAAAATAATTGTTTGAGAAATCAATTTGGAAGGCTTACTTGTTTTTTTCGTTTCTTATCCTTTCTTAATTTTTTCTCTTCGCTTTTTATCTTTTCACTAGATAAGACATCCATATCATCCGCCTTACATTTATTGCGGATTTTGTCTTTTTTGTCTTTCTTTTTTTTTATCTTTCCCTCTTTAGGCTTTTTAAATTTTTTATGCAACTTTCGAATTTTAAGTTCACTGATTGTCATACTATTGGTTGGGGTAATCGTTAAATCGTCATAGCCAAGAGTTCCAAGGAAATGTGGTTCGGCTGCTGCTGCTGTTGTTGGTGCTATTGCATCAGCGGATGTGGTTGTTGGTGCACCAGAAGTGGCGCCAAGTGCTAGACTTGTTGATGGAACTGTCAAGGACGAATATGCCAAGCCACTGTCAATCCGCGACAGGGGTATTAGATCTGCGCCACCAGCAAGGCTAAATTTATCGCTACCCATGAAGTTTATCTTAAATGGTGTTGTCGTTGCTGCCGTTGTTTGTTTTGTTGCTGCGGCTCCTACTTCTGCTGCTGCTGCTGCTGTTGCTGTTGCTGTTGCTGTCGTTGGTTGTGGTGGCGGTGGCGCAACGGACAATAAGTTCTCATCAGTTTGACGCATTTTTAAAGTTTCTGTATGAGGTTGCCTATTGAATTGTGGTTGCAGCAAGGGATTGGAATTGATCGCATATAGTTGACATGCTTCAATGCCAATACCTGGATTCATAAGACTCGACGGTTGCTTTATGTTTGATTTGTGACGAGGTGATAGACTGTTATTAGCCTTGGATTCGCCGTCGTTTGAGTCCGAATCGGATACCTCAATGGGATCACCGACGTTGCCTGTTGCAGCTGACAATAATTTGGCTTGTGCCTTTCTAGTGTTAGTGGTGTCATCATTATCAGCCTGAACGACAGTTGATCTATGAGCTACTTCTGCATCAGCTAATTCGTTGCTTAGCATTCGATGGGGTGACTTAAGGTTAACGCCTTCAACTGGCAAAGTTGGCAATTTCATAGAGTCTGGCACCAGCGGCGCAACATTGCAATAGCTGCGCTCCACATGAATGTCTGACAGCGGCATTACTCCACTCAGAGCATTTGCTTTATTATCTGTGAATTGAAAATTAGAACATTTCTTGAGCTAAACTCTAAATATGTTTCATGCTTACCCGGAGCTGTAGCTGAGAAGTTCATAAACGAATGTGGCATAATTAAATTAGAGGCCGTGCCGCAGGCAACCGACTTGTTAAAGCCAGTTAAATTCGGTGGAAATAAGCCTGGACCCGTTGGTATTAGGCCAGGTCGTGGAGGAAAGTGCAATAAGGGTAGCATTGGCATTATATTTCGCTCATTGTTTGAGCTTGAAAAATTGTTTGCTGTTCTTGGCCCAGAGTTACTTGCAAAGCTAAGACTTCCAACTAGCTTTGTATCCGATTCCGCCCCTATGACAAGCGTTGAGTCCTTCGACATTTTCATATCTGAATCCATTAAACAAATCTTTTTATTCAATTCTCGCGTATTGTCAATAATATTGCTGTCCTGATATTTTGTTTTCGATTTTTTTCTCTCCTTTTTTTCTTTAGGTTTTTGAACCTTGTTTTCACCCTGATTGTCCGCAAAATTTACATTACTTTTCAATTGATCGACATGACTTAGATTCAGGGGCTCCATCACAGGCATATGAAATGTTAGGGGTATGGGGACAGCAGTGGACAAGGTTGGCATCACTGTAGTACCGTCTTGATATGTATAAACTGGATTCAGCTTCGAGGCTTTTGTTTTCTTTTGTATCTGTATAGACGAAGGTATGGACGACATGTTAGTTAATGAGGGTCCTTGAGGCCTGCATTGATTTTTGCCTCCTGGTTTACGGCCACGTTTTTTTGGTTTATTCAAATCATTATTCGGTAAATTGGTTGCTGCTGGAGGCAATTGCGGATAGGTGTCTAAGTAATCGTATGTTGTCAAATTACCCAATGACAAATTTGAATTAGTATTAGTTATATTCTCATTGACACTTGGGGCTGGCGGTGCTGGTGTTATAGTTGTACCGGATGGCAAATTGATTAACGGCGATGCTACATTGTTGGCATTTTCATATGCATTCGAAGAAACATTCAATTTGCTAGCCTTTTGCTTGGAGATCTTCTTAAAAATATTCAATTTATTCCGATCTGGTTCGTTAGCTAGTTTTATTTCGTCAATCAATTCAATTGCTAAGTTGGGCGCTGTGGCTATGTTATATGCTTCTTTGTCTTCCAAGTGCATGGCAGCAGGAGGAAGAAATCCCACTTCACTCACGGGCTGCTCAAGTGGTTCAGGATTTACGCTATTGAATGGATTCACTGGCATAGTGTTCATTGCATCTATACTGAACTTGGAAGTTGATTGAAATTGACATAGCGGCTGCTGCGGCTGCTCCTGAAGCTGTTGTTGCTTTTGGTATTTTATTTGCTTCTGCCTTAGTTTTGTTTGCTTTTTTATCAATTTCTCAAATTGCGCTCGCTCTGTTGAACCATCTGGCAAATCGGATAATATGCCACGATTTAGGATTTTCATTTTCTTCAAGTCAATCACATTGCTGCCGCTGCTGCCACCTTCAATTTGATTCTTTGACAACTTTTGAAAAATTTTCAAAGCTTTCCGCCGAGCCTTATCCACAGCTTTTACAGAACTTGAATCATTTGTCGTCTGACCAGTAGATATATTTTTCTTTTTGCTTTTCTTAAGTTTTGTGTTCGGGGCTAGTGTTGCAAACGCTGTCGCTCCTGTCGCAGCAGAGCTTCCTTCCTCATTACCTTTATTAATTTCATTCGATATGGTCGGACCATCACATGGGGACTTTTGGTCGATCATTGCAATATCTGGCAAAAGCTCTAGAGAATCCAATTTTTTTATTTTTGAAATATCAACGGCATCATTTGTGGCATCCTTTTGTATTTCCAATAATTTAGGCACATGCGGAATAGAAGGTGCGTCTAGCCCTTTGAATTTTTCTAAAAACAAATATGTATATCTTTCAGTATTATTACATGTTATGGCTGTTCTTATTATATAAGTTAAGACTTTCGACAATCTAAGCAGGCTGGAGAGTCCAGTCAGACATTCAAGGGGAGAACCTAACCAGTTGAACAGATTTAGTTCAGTTCATAGTACTCTAGTGTGGGAGCGCTTAACTTATATATGTTCTTATATATATATATATATATATATATATATATATATATATATATATAGATCATATGCAGGCCATAAGGGGATCGAAACTCCGAATTTTATAGAATCTGTAAATTCATCACAGGTGTAACTCAAAACCATTATCGACTAAAATAGCACATTCATTCACAAACAAACAGCAGCTGTCCGTTCAAACATAATTATATCGCGATTGTGATTCTAGAATGGAAATCATTGTCTGTATACATATTATATTCTTCGTAGTTAGTTGACTACCTGCGCTGGCAGTGAAAGTGTACATTTCTTTTAATGAATCATTTTTATACCCTGAACTCATTGAAAATGGGAAATAATGGGATATGGGAAATGGTATAATGGTTTTGTTAAAAGCATGTAACAGGCAGGAGACGTGGCAGACCCCAGAAAGTATATATATATATATATATATATATATATATATATATATATATTCTCAATCAGGGCGACGAGCTGAGTCGATTTAGCCATGCCCGTCCGTCTGTCCGTATGTATGAACGCGTCGATCTCAAAGCTTTTCTCTCAAAATCGATAACTACTCTCCATATTTTATTATCGATTGAAAGCCCTGCAGATAGTTCATCGACAAGAAAAGTTATTAAACAATTAAGTTCCAATAGTAAGCCCACTCTGCAGTCCATGCGTGTTTATACGTGCATGCCTATATGTGTGTTTGTGTTTTTTTGCTTGTGTAAGCAGAAAGACGCGATGAATTATTGAAATATCAATTTTTAGAAGGGTTCAGGCAGCATTGTCGACTAGAGCTTTCTTACATGCTATGTTTATATATTGTATAAGGAACGGCTTTCAGGGGATCTCCTAGTCGGACACCTGGACTAGTTTCCTTATTTGACACTTACTTAAAGGATTCTAATGATATATATGGTCTATAAAGTAGTCTGCAAAGTGGCCCTTTAGTGATATGAAAATTCTTTCTCAACAAAATCAATTTGCAGTATTGACTAAATTTCAACTCAAAAGAGGTAGAGATCTCTTGTAGGTTCCGAGACTAATGCGTTCGATAGAACGCGTATTCTCTCTGTTACATACTATCCTTTTTATACCCTGAACCCATTTTCAATGGGAAATCAGGGTATAATGGTTTTGTTGAAATGTATGTAACAGGCAGAAGGAGGCGTGGCAGACCCCACAAAGTATATATATTCTTGATCAGGGTGACGAGCTGAGTTGATTTGGCCCTGTCCGTCTGTCTGTCCGTCTGTCCGTCTGTCCGTCTGTCCGTATGTATGAACGCGTCGATTTCAGAAGATATAAGAGCTAGAGACTTCAATTTTTTTTAAAATGTCCGTAATTACAGCGCGCATATCAAGTTTATCATTAAAAATCGATAACTCATTTCGATCTTTTTTTATCGATAAAAAACCTTATCGAAACCCAGTTATAAAATTATATCTTCTACACCTTTATTGCTAGAGTCTCCAAATTTTTAATGTATGCTTATATGCAATTTATACAATTTCGGTTTTTGTTAAAATTTACCCCCCACCTCTAAATTCACCCCCTCACCCTCACTTTTGTAAAAAGCGTATTTCAAATACTAGAGACTTGTGCTTTGGCAATTACATGCATATTCATGTTATAATCATAATCTAAAAGTTTCATGAAGGTCGTACGTCCATAAAAAAAGTTATTAAACAATTAAGTTCTCATAGTAAGCGCACACTGCAGCCCATGCGTGTTTATGCGTGGTTGCTTGTGTGTGTATGTGTTTGTGTATGTGTGTGTGTGTGTGTGTGTGTGTGTATGCGTTTGTGTATGTATGCGTGTGTGTGTGTATGTGTGTCTGTATGCGTGTGTGTGTATGTATGCCTGTGTGTGCGTACGTGCGTGTGTGTGTGTGTGTGTGTTTCTTGTGTAAGCTGAAAGTCGCGAAAAAGTATTGAAATATCTATTGCTCCAAGGGTTCAGGGGATCTCGTAGTCGAGCAGTCTCGACTAGAGCTTTCTTACTTGTTATTGTTGCTTATTAATAATTGTCTGGGTACTCACCAATAATGTCTGGTACGTAAGCTTCTGGTAATTTGCCCTCAATTGCCGGCGATATGAACCCTCCAGTCGTCATAACGACGCTACTGATCTCTCGTATTGCATGACCATTATGATCCAAGTTGTCAGTAGAGGATGAATTTTGAGTGGACAACTTCGATATTCCACCGACGACAGTTGCCGTAGCAGGAAAGTGGTTCTTCACATCTTGAATTAGCTTCGTCGTTGTAAACTCTCGATTTGATTCCAGTTTACATAGTTGAAGATGTTCGTGCTCCGATTTCTCTGGCCATCTGATTGAGGAGGTAGAGTTGGAACAGGAGACAGTTGGCGTTGGTTCTGTAGGCAACATCGGTGGCAGGTATTCAAATATGTGAACGGGCCTCGTGAGAGTCTCTACACTGCCGGGCTTTAGGAAATTCATGTTTGAATTTCTCTTTACTGGATATGCTGGTATTTCGCGAACGAATGGTATTGGCTCCACATTTCCAATATAATCTAGTAGCTCGGGTACGTTAATGTTAACATTTTTTAGGCTCAGCACTGCATCCTTCAAATTTGGCTCAATGCGATTTGCTATATTGGATAATATAATTACATATCTGACTGTACGCATGTAAATATTTAGAGAGAAGGTATTTACCGTGCTCGGCTTGGCTGTGTAGGTCCCGTGCCAGTTCTTGGATAAAACGCAATAAAATGTCCTCTAGCAGTTCTAGCGGCACACTCTGGGTTCTGTTATACCCAATAGTTTGCGCTATTTGGGCTATAACAACACCCAATAACTCAGAAGTGTATTTTTCAGTCATCGTCTTTACGGGCTGACGACTTTCAGAAAAAATTTTGTTTTATTTATTTGCATGTGTTGGTACTCTCCTAGTGTTGAGTAACATACAAGGGAAAAATTGTATTGCCGCCACTATTTGTTTTAGTCCCATAGAATTATATCATTTACAATTCTTTGTTTTACCAGTTTCAGACAAGTGATTTTTTTCAATTTTTTCTTACAAAGTTTCTAGGTCCGGTAGACGCGAACTTTATTGCGCTTTTTTTTACATGTATATAATTAAAAGAGTTCGGCGATAATAAATACGCGATACGACTAGTAGTGTTGTAAAACTATCGATTGAACGTTCGATCTATCGAATATTTCTATTTCTGCGTCCATATCGATTGTTTTTATACTATCGATAGAGATGATATCGTGCGTTGCACATCAATTACTTTGGCGCAACTTCGCAAGTCGGCGGCTCTTTTTGGTAAGAAATACATTTATAAGAAGCAATTAAGTATAAAAATAAGTATTTATTTGTAGGTAAATTTTCGTTGGTGTTGGTGGCTGGACAGATTATCACGGAACGACGAGCTGCCTTAAAAGCTAAGCATGTGGGCATGCTTGTCTTTCTTAATCATAACTCTTGGATCTTGGCAGAAGAATAAATGTTTATTAAAAATTTTATTTTTATTTTTAAATATGCATTTATTTAGTTTGCTATTGAATAATTGTTGTAAAACCATCGAAACTATTGAATGTTGCAACCATCGATAGTTTTACAGCTCTAACGACTACAAGAACAGAGCTGTAACCGATATGTGTTATTAGTGGACTATCGACATGTTCAAATTAAAGAAGCAGTGCTGTCACTAACCATACTATACATTAGAGCTGGAGAAACATCGATGTTTGAAGACATCGATGTTTCGATGGATTTTTCAGTCAAATACATCGATGTATCGATGAAACATCGGAAAATCCATCGAATCCATCGATGGTGGCAACACTCGGCAACACTTCACTTTGATAACTTACCAGATGGATACGGACAGAATATGTCAAATATAAGTCAATTGATTAATGAGCCATTGGTTTTTGTTCATAAGTACCAAAGTGTTGACTATAGTTGACTTTAAACTCGACTTTCGGTCCGAAGCAATCAATCCTGTTTTTCAAAATGTTCCTTCTGACTTGGCAGAACTTGCTGGAATACATAAATATTATTTTAACATTCATAATGTTATAATGTTATTATCCCTGTAAAATACTTACGCAAATACTGTAAGAACTTTTTCATTGATATTGTGTATTATTGTGATCTTTGGTCAGTGGTATTATGTACCTAACTCACAACAACTTCGATAGATCGAAATCGAAAAATTTCCATCGATCTATCGCATTTCACAAGTCTCATCGAGACTTTCGATGGAGCCCTCGATGGATTTCCCAGCTCTACTAGCATGTCAACATTTTTGGATTTTTCGCTAACACGAAGTCCAGCTTTGTTGAACATCCTCTCACTCTCAGTAGAGGTTCCTCACACGCATACATATTATTTAGCACTTTTAGCTCACAGCACGTTTTCTGCTTAATTTAGTTCATTGTGATGTATAGAAATAGTTCTATTAAAACAGTAAATTTAGTGGAGGTAACATTTTTACAAAACATCGTACAAAAAACATCATTTTATTTGAAAAAAATGAGAAAACAGGACAACAATTTTTTTTTCTAAATTTGTATATTTTTCTTGTGTTGCCGTTTTCCCCGAGAAAAAACATTACACAAATTAGGACAAACAAGTAAGAAAGCTATAGTCGAGACTGCTCGACTACGAGATCCCCTGAACCCTTGGAGCAATAGATATTTCAATACTTTTTCGCGACTTTCAGCTTACACAAGAAACACGCACACACACACACACACACACGCACGTACGCACACACAGGTATACATACACACACACGCATACAGACACACATACTCACACACACGCATACAGACACAAACGCATACACACACACACATACACACACACACATACACATACAAGCAACCACGCATAAACACGCATGGGCTGCAGTGTGCGCTTACTATGAGAACTTAATTGTTTAATAACTTTTTTTTATGGACGTACGATCTTCATGAAACTTTTAGATTATGATTATAACATGAATATGCATGTAATTGCCAAAGCACAAGTTTCTAGTATTTGAAATACGCTTTTTACAAAAGTGAGGGTGAGGGGGTGAATTTAGAGGTGGGGGGTAAATTTTAACAAAAACCGAAATTGTATAAATTGCATATAAGCATACATTAAAAATTTGGAGACTCTAGCAATAAAGGTGTAGAAGATATAATTTTATAACTGGGTTTCGATAAGGTTTTTTATCGATAAAAAAGATCGAGATGAGTTATCGATTTTTAATGATAAACTTGATATGCGCGCTGTAATTACGGACATTTTAAAAAAATTTGAAGTCTCTAGCTCTTATATCTTCTGAAATCGACGCGTTCATACATACGGACAGACGGACAGACGGACAGACAGACGGACAGGGCCAAATCAACTCAGCTCGTCACCCTGATCAAGAATATATATACTTTGTGGGGTCTGCCACGCCTCCTTCTCCCTGTTACATACATTTCAACAAAACCATTATACCCTGATTTCCCATTGAAAATGGGTTCAGGGTATAAAAATAAGCTAAATCCCAGAAACAGCTGAAAATAAGATAATATTTTAGAATTGTTTCTTGTGTAAGCTGAAAGACGCGAACAATTATTGAAATATCTATTGCTCCAAGGGTTCAGGGGATCTCGTAGTCGAGCAGTCTCGACTATAGCTTTCTTACTTGTTTTTTTTAAATCTATTTAACCACAATATGTTGGAGATGGAAGTCTTACAGAACTAGCGATGTGAGCCTTTAATAGTTAGCTTGTTAATTTGTCTATTAATCGGTAACTAATATCAGATATTAAACTAGCTGTAAAACTCTTGGAGATACAGTTTTACCCGATTTGCCATGCCCTCAATGGGCGTAGATATATCAGTAGTAGTAGATATATCATGGCTTGTGATCTTGAGTGGTCGACGTGGATCTACATTCAAAATTCCAGCTTTGTAGCATTTCAACTAATATGATTTCTGGCATATCGGAAAATACATTTCCCATGCCACGCCTCCAATGGGCGGATCGGGAAAATTTTTAAACTTTATAATTCGGTAATATACCCGAGTATGTGTTCCAAATTTCTCAAGTCTCTGGCTTCCATAGCGCCGAAAAAGTTGCGTTCATACGGAGAGAAGGACAAGACGGACATTGCATAAAACCAATATACTAATTCACTTTGGTGAATGAGTATAAAAATAAAAGTTATCGTGTGGTTTATGTGACTTGGAACAGTAAAAAACATGAAATTGGAAAGTATTTTGCAATAATGAAAACTTCTTATTTCGTTATTCGATGTGCTCTAAATAGGTCGCTATTGTGTGGAGTCCAAATTAACCGATGAAAATGGCTGGCTCGGGTGGGATATACTCAAATGTCGAAACTGTATTTTGAAGGCGAATAATGAGTCTGAAATCTTTGGCTTAGATAGAAAGACTATGGAAGAACGTGAAAATAGTGCGGTCAACTTGAAGCATGAGAAAATACTAATGCAAGAGATAAAAGAACCTATGATTCCTAACTTCAACGATTTTTTGATGCCAAGACCAATTTCATTAAATGTGGGGGCACCTAAAAAGTCCATTCCTAATACAATTGAATCGCAGCAAAATGTTCAGAATATGGAAATTTTGGCTGTTACTAAGGGTGGGCTTGACAGTTTACCGATTTCATGTCGAGGCACTGCTTTATCCGTTACGAAGGATACTAATGTGAATTGGGATGCCACCCAAGGTGGACGTATGATTTTACCATTGCGTCGTGGTGGCTGCTCTCAAGTCACAGTCTCCCCAAAGTCCAAAGTGAAGGATACTGAATTGTTGCCAACTCCTTTCAGCGATATGCGCAATCTTCAGTTAGCTAGCCGAAGACGAATGCTTGAGGATTTGGGTTACCAAATCGCTCCTTATACAAGAAGAATTTTAAATTCTTTGGAAAATCCATCGGCTACTCCAAAAAGGATGGTAAGTCATTTGGGAAATCCAATGGCCACACCTCGTTGGAAAGTGAACGACAGCCTACAGATTTCGTGTAGTTCGACCCTCGTCAGTGAACTACCTGAGTGGTATGCAACAGTTCAGGTTGGTGATTTGATATATGGTAAGTGCTTGTACTAAAATATCAATAAGTTTATATACAAGTAATAGTTTATCATTGATAGACCGGTATTTTATATTGAGAAACATAGCAGTCAGTCGTCTGTCATCCGTTTGGCTTTGCTGGGACATGGAGCTGGCGCTTTCAGTGGTCATAAAAATGTCGGATACTACTTGCATGAGCGTCGAATTGATTAACGGCGAGATGAATACAATTAAATCACTACATGATTATAACTACATTGATGAACGACGTGAGTGTGTCGTTAAACTTTTGGGCGGCTTTAAACTAAACTAACTAACTAACTAAACACTCATAGCTTTTTATGTTAGCTCTCTCTGAAAAATATAATGGGTACCGTTACTTCTCTCAGCACGCAGAAAAAGGCAGTTTAAGTTTTTGCAATTTGTTGTCAAAATACTTTTGTCCTCCATTGTATATATTGTAAAATATTTTTCCTATATGTGTGCACACATACATTCAAAGTTATTCTAGCATATTCCTAAAATAACATTGCGATTGTTGTGCTAGAGTTCTCAACAGTTAGTTTAGTTTCTATTTGATGTATAGCGCTGCAGCAGTGAATCTATTTCAGTTTTGCCATCAGACTTTCGAGAAATTAAGTGGCGTTGTGACTAGCAGCGCGACACTAGATCGAGGACTCACGGGTTCGACTCCAGAGCGTGCAATTTATGGAGAGAGTTTTGCAGCTAGAACGCTGTAAGCTAATGTTCTGATTCTATAAAGATTAAAGATTGATGCTAGAGACTTACTTCCGTGCTATCATTGGCTATCAAACCTATTATTATATACATATAGATGGCTCACGCATATAAATGTCGCCCCCTGAGGGCGGAGATATATCCACCATAGCTCTTTGGACTTGGGTGGTCAACCAGCGAATATACACAATTTTTACCAAGATTTCAGGTCTCTAGTATCAACATTGCTTAAAATCTAGCAGAATTTGAAAAATCACTATATCTTCAGGTCCTATTTGCCACGCCCCCAGTGGGCGTAGACATATAATTTCTCGTCAATCTTTATTAGCTCACATTAGCTCACGTGCAATATTTCAGCACTCTAGTTTTACAACTTTAAGGGATACAGTCTTTCTGGTATATCGGAAAATGTATTTTTTGATTTGGCACGCCTTTAGTGGGCGGATCCGGAACATTTTAACACTTTATAAATCAGAGATATACACGAGTATGTATTCCAAATTTCTAGTCTCTAGCTTCAATAGTACCGAAATTAATTGCGTTCATACGGAAAGACGGACGGATATTGTAAAAAACCAATATACTCATTTCACTTTCTTGAATGAGTATAACAAAATCAGTATTAGCTGATTAGATTCATAAACAAGCCAGATTTTCCGCTATCCGCAATTCCCAAACTTTTCCGCAATCGCACTTGAAAATAAGTGAAAATAAGTGACCGAGCAGTGCAAATACGAAGAGAAAATGCAGGAAAAACTCGAGTAAATCGACTCCCTACCAGTGGTGCCAATTCTTCCGGGCAAGAAAATGCTAACCTTTCAAACCTGCTAAACGGCTAGATCAAATTCAAGAATAGACAGAAAAAAAGCCTTTTTAGTTTTTTTTTTTTTTCGAAAATTGGCGCAGTTATCGAGCTCAATAAAATCAATTTTCTCCTCGGCAGTATGCGAATTTTTCGTGTCAATTGTGGTGTGGTTTCATAATTTGAAGGAGTGCTAGCAGAATTTTCAATAATGCTATGAAGGGCCAGTTTGATTTAAAAAAATGCCAAATCTCCCGCTGCTGCTCCTTTAGTGGCAGCTTAAACTAGTTTTACATTAAAACAAGTAAGAAGACTCTAGTCGAGACTGCTCGACTAGGAGATACCCTGAACCCTCTAATCTGATACTCTAATCACTCTGCACTTCATTTCGGCACACATACATACAAACGAACGTATTAGGACGCGATCTGCTAACTGCGCAGTAAGCAGCGACTGCGCTTGGGCTGCGCTGCAGTGTGAGCAACATTATAAGAAATTATTAGTTAAATAATTTAATTTCTAGAAGTACAATCTTAATGAAACTTTCAGAACATAATCATAATGTTCAAATGTATATGTATGTAATACATTCCAAAGCACAAGTCTCTAGTACTTGAAATACCCATTGAAAATGGGAAATCAGGGTATAATGATTTTGTTAAAGGTATGCAACAGGCAGAAGGAGGCGTGGCAGACCACACAAAGTATATATATTCCTGATCAGGGCGACGAGCTGAGTTCATTTAGCTCTGTCCGTCTGTCTGTCTATCCGTCAGTCCGTCCGTCCATCTGTCAGTATGTTTGAACGCGTCGATCTCAGAAGACATAACAGCTCGAGACATGAAATTTGTTTTCTAGGTCCGTGTTTACCACGCGCCATTATTTTGTTATCGATTAAAAACATTATCGAAATCCAGTAATAAATTTATATCTGCTACATCTTTAAAGCTAGAGTCACCAACTTTTAAATTTCAATTTACCCCCCACCGCAATATTCACCTCTTCAACCCTAAATTTATAAAGGCTTATTTCAAATACTAGAGACTGTGCTTTGGCAAATACATGCATGTCAACGAGTATGTTATATTCATAATCTAAAAGTTTCATGAAGAAAGTACATCCACAAGAAAAGTTATTTAGGGAGACCATCCGTCCTGGAATTCGGGGACATGTCCTGCTTTTGGAGGTAATGTCCCGGTGTCCCGACCTGACACGAAATTGTCCCGGTTTTCTATTGTTTCGATAAAAAAAAACAGTCATTTTGACAAAATGCAAACTTGAAGAAGTTTGTGTCGAGACAAGTCGAGAATTTGTTGTTTAGAAAAACAACGCAGATAAGGTAGTACAGTATACTCGTGTTGTTACTCGGAAGTATTAAAAATAGCTCAAATCCTGCATGCGATTCCAGCGCAAAATGCGCAAATTTCGAAAGGGTTTTTTCTTACTAAAGACACAGTGGTCAGACGAAAGAAATAAGTTACTGGTGGAGAGTGTTAAAAACATCCATATAGTTCAATTTAATGCGATGCGTAATTTCCTCGGCTTGGCAGTTAGCCGTCTGGCTGGCAAATTTGTGTGGCTGCCAAGCCGTTTAAAATATTTTGCCGAATATAGTTGTACGATATCGCCCACCTTAGGAACCTTTAGATCATTTTCAATGTCTCTGGCTCTCATGTACCATGGTGCGCCACAAATTCGCCTGACATTTTTTGCTTGGGCACCTCTAATTTTGTTCACGGAGTCACGTCATCTTTCTGGCTTTCGCCATTACCGACTGCGGTACCATGGTAGTATGGTCTTTGAAATTTAGTTTCCTGTCCAGTAAAACTCCATGGTACTTGTGTGAGCTCTTTTTGGGGACTATGGAGCCCAGCATAGTAGCATAGCCTCTACAAGACAAAGTTCTTGTGGTAAACGTGGCTTGTTTTTTTAATTCCCTAGTCCATTCTTCAAAGCTGTTCACATACGGCTGCAAAGATTCCGTTGCTGTGCTAATGCTTGGATTTGTCCTCCTCTAATCCTGCAACTACATTTGTAGTCGGCAAATCGGCTGTATATGTGTGGATTGGCTGGGGTAGCTGTGGTGGTAAGATGCTCTTCAATTTATACCGAAGACCATCGTGCCACCCTGTCAAAAGCTTGTTGGATGTTCATAAAAACAGCACCGCATACATTTTTTGCTCCATTGCGTCGAGGGAGAAGTTGACCACGCGATGAAGCTGTTCCGGCGTACCGTACCCTCGACTAAATCCTAACTGCCAATTCAGAATTTTTTGTTTGATAGGTTCAAGCTGCAAGATACGGTCAAGGATCACTCTATCTGCCATATTCCCTAGCGCCTAGAGCAGGCTGATTGGACGAAATCCTTCATCTTCTGTGTGGTCTTTTCCAAGATGTAGTACCATTGTGATCAATGCCATCTTCCAGCAGGTTGTCTCAGTCTTTGCATACTGTTGAGGATTAGGACAATAAACAGCAGCGCTGTTATCCAGCAAGTCCTCTCCAGGGGATTTTGTTAGTTTTCAGCTTGTTTATTTGCCACACAAACTATTGAAGTGTGACTGGAATTGCAGGCAGTGAATCTGAAAGGGCGTCCCCAAACTTCGCTCGATATCTCTTCTTGTGCTATCAGAAGTAAGATTAAATGGCTTAAATCTTTCCTCTAAGCTGTCCGCAAAGATTTCAGCCTTCTGTTGATTGGAAGAACACCAACCACCCGATAGATTTTTAATTGGCATTTTCGGCATGGCGACTCTTTTAAACCGGTTTGTAAGCTTCCAGAGTATGTAATTGAAAAATGCATCGGGACCCGCACTTTCAAGTATTCCATCAATTTTCCTCTGCTTGACTTTTACAAGGATCTGATGGAGTCGAGTATCCCCGGTTCTTGAATACTCTCTTCTTACTCTTCTTTTAAGACGTAAGAGCGCGTCAACATTTGGGGGGAGAATATGTCTGCGATGTTGGGTTTGCGGACATTGGTTTACTGGAGTAGCACAAGATCCAGCCAGTGAGACGTTTCTCATGAAGATTGAGACCGGACTGTTTATTTCCATGTTGAGGCTGGTTCTGCTGGCCAGTTCAGTTTGAAAAACATCTACACATGAAGCTCTATGGAGTGCATTATGCACTGTTGCTATGATAAGCAAATGCTTCGATTGAATCCTGCATTATTTTGAACAGTTGATCCATTCTGTGATTTAGGGTTGCGTTCGCATTAATATGTTGCGCCCCACTCTGTCTCAGTATGTCAGCATAGGAGTAGACACCTCATCTTTGGGCAATTCTTAGAACGAGCTAACGGTACCCTAACTGCAAAATTTGAATGCTTACGCTCAAAAAAATGTGAAAATTACAGGGTATTTTTCGATATGCCACGCCCCTAAAGACGCGTACAAATTATTTTTGGGTCATCGATAGAAGAGGTTACTGGTAACTTAACTATCTAAATTTGAAGCTTCTAGGTATATACTTTAGGAGATATCAGCTTTTGTGGTTTGCCACGCCGTTCATACGGACTGACGGACAGATGGACGGAGAGCAAGGCGGACATTGCACAAAATCAGTATTCTAAGTCACTTTCGTGAATGAGTTTAATAATTCACTTTCTTGAATGAGTATACAATTTTTTGCTAAGACGCGGTAATTCGTACCATATTGTCAAACACTCGACAATTCAAATTTCAAGTTGGCAAGTTAGTACGAACTTTGAATTTGAATTTGGAGATTCCCCTAAAACTACGATTACTGGTCGTGATTGTGCGTTATGCTCGCTTCCGCACTAATCGCTTCGTTAGTATAGGGGACGGGAGAGGAGAGAAGAAAAGCAACAAGTAAGAAAGCTCTAGTCGAGACTGCTCGACTACGAGATCCCCTGAACCCTTCGAGCAATAGCTATTTCAATCATTTTTCGCGTCTTTCTTCTTTGTACTTTCTTCATGAAGATTACAATTCAGATTATGGCTATAACATGGATATGCATGTGATTTGCCAAAGCACAAGTCTCTATTTGAAATACGTCTTGACAGATATGTGGGATCTGCCACGCCTCCTTCTGCCTGTTACATACTTTTCACAAAACCTGATTTCCCATTTTCAATGGGTTCAGGGTATACAAATCTCGTACATAGTATCTTAATCTTCATTCACCAAAACGCACGTTGTACTTATGTATCCATACATATATACTTATAAGAACGGTGGCAGATCGGAAGAACCAGTGTTTTAAACTAAGTGCCTCGAAAATGAGAAGGTAATTCAAATTCTTACTTGTTAATATTCTGTTTTGTATGTTTATAATCTTGTTAATTTTGAATTTCAAAAAAGTTATGAATAGATAATAATATAATATAGGCAAAATATTGCATTTTATTAATTATTAATTGGCTATAATTCAAGTTTAATATTTATTTATTTACAGTTTAGTGAAATAACTATTAATTTATTTTGTTTTTAACAAAAACATAAAATAAATTCTAGGAGATATTTCAGGGTACTTATATGTAACATAATCTTCAACTCATTCCTGACAAAAAAAAAAAAAAATAAATAAAAACAATTTGAATCTTTCAGACGAGAAAATCATATATTGTCAAATCCCAGAACTCTTTTCAATTTGGAATGTGATGTTTCTTAGATATTATTTTTATTTCATTGTTGGTATAGACGCCTTATATACCCAATATACAGGTCAAGCTAGAGCACCTAAAGGAAAGGGTCTTACCAATAATATGTAGCAAGCCAAACAAACAAGAATGCTCAAGCCGAGAGTGCCCTATAGAAGATATATAAATATATATATGTATATATGTATATATATATATATATATATATATATATATATATATATATATATATATATATATATATATATATATATATATATATATATATATATATGTTTTGTATGTTTAGAATATATATAGGTGTACGTATATTTCGGTCGATTACCATGCATCGGATTCTATTATTGCTTTCATTACTGAAGAAGCTTTTTGAATTATTCTATATTATGCCGATAGCGACGAAGGCGTGCACTATTTTCTATTTTTGGATCGCCAGGTGGGGGCGAAATATCATTCCTTGGTGTTGTCGGGGGGGATGACGGTGTTGATCCAACAATATTTTGATTTCTTGCCGCCTTATTAGTGTCATCGATTAGTGAGTTGGCCGTCGTCTTATACGTTGTATTATCTTTGCAAAACTCCCTCACACCATCATCGATACTAATCGTATCCACTGCCGGCGACTGATCATCGAAAGTGGTTAATATTGTTGTTGCTGTTGCTGAAACCTCACGCGACCTGCAATTGATGAAGTGGTTAACTGTGTTTTTGGCTACTCCGACAATTTATGACCAGCTTTAGTCTTACCTATTAGATATGCGAGCTTGTGGGCGCTGAAATCTTAAATTCAATTGCGTGGGATCAGTCACGTACTTTCCCTCAGTTGACTCACGACGGCGACGCAAACCTTAATGAATGAGTGCAATTTATCATCGTTGTGTATATATCGCTATATTATTTAAATATGTGTATCTACAGTCACCCGTGTAAGGGTGCCTTCTCTCTCTTAGCCTTTAAGACATTAACTAACCTGGTGTCAGGTCCATAATATTTGGAGAGTTCTGTAAAACACTCGAATAAAGTTGAATTCGGGTGGGGCTATTAACAAGATCTACAGTATTGGATTTTTCTGAATAATCATGTTGTGTGTGAGTCTGGGATGCTGCTGCTGCTGTTGCTGTTGCTGTTGCTGTTGCTGTCGGTGTTGTTGTTCCTGTTGTGGTTGCAACACCAGCCCAAGAGGCACACTTCGCTTGTCGCAAATTGGAAGTGAGCACAGGAATCTTGCTGGGCGTACTCAACAAAGCCAATTCACAACCATCACACTCATCATCAGCCATGTGTGAGCTAGGATTCTCAATTTGTGATTTGGATTGTGGATCCGTTTGAATCTGATGAGCTGTAGCTGTCGATGGACCCCTCACGCTCTCCGTTGCTGACCCATTGCCATTCAATTTGACTTTGTTGCTATCAGCATTCGAGTCCTGAGCAACTTCGATTCGATCACAGTTAACTGAAATCTTATCATCCAAAAGCTTATCGCGCAGATCACCAGTTGCCTCCTGCTTCACAGATTTGAAATTTTTCGTAGTGCTAGCTAAGGCATCGTAGTAGACAGACTCCTCCAAGTGCGAGTTTTCTGTATGAAATACAAAACAATTTATGTAATAATAGCGTACAAAATATAATGTATACAACAAATAAATTAGTTGGATTCCTCTATTTGTTTTTATACCCTGAACCCATTTTCAATGGGAAATCAGGGTATAATGGTTTTGTTGAAATGTATGTAACATGCAGAAAGAGGCGTGGCAGATCCCGCAAAGTATATATATTCTTTATCAGGGCGACGAGCTGAGTTGATTTAGCCCTGTCCGTCTGTCTGTCTGTCCGTCCGTCCGTCTGAACGCGTCGATTTCAGAAGATATAAGAGTCGCCAAATTTCTAATGTAGATTCATATGTACTTTATAGAATTTCGATTTTTGTCAAAATTTACCCCCCATCCCTATATTCACCCTCTCTCCAACATATTTGTGCTTTGGCAAATGCATGCATATCCATGTTATAATCATAATCTGAATTGTAATCTTCATGAAGAAAGTACATCCACAAGCAGAGTTATTAAGCAATGAAGTTCTCATAGTAAGCGCACTCTGCAGCCCATGCGTGTTTAGGCGTGGGTGCTTGTGTACGTGTATGTGTGTGTGTGTACGTGCATGTGTATGTGTGTGTGTCTATTTGTGTGTGTGTATTTGTGTGTGTGTGTATGCGTGTGTGTGTGCGTGTGTGATTGTGTGAGTGTCGCGTGTTTTGTATGAGCAGAAAGACGCGAAAAATGATTGAAATAGGTATTGCTCGAAGGGTCCAGGGGATCTCGTAGTCGAGCAGTCTCGACTAGAGCTTTCTTACTTGTTTCATTCATATCTTTCGGAATGACGCGAATTTCAAGACGCCCACTAACACAGCCTCCGTTGCTCTGGGTCGCAGCATCCACGAAGTTTGCAGCTCGATTTCCATGCTGATAGCCGTGCATGTCGGATGATATTGGGTCTGAAGCCAGGTTGCTTCTCTGGCAAAACGTTGTCTTGACACACCAAGGCACTGCAGCGACAGGTGCGACTGTGGATTCCTGTAGCTCAACAGGCGCATTTGTATTCGAGTTCGGTTTCTCATCAAACATGTCTATGAGGCATACATTGGGCAGGCTATTGCGGTGCTTGCACAGTGATTGACTCTCGTTCGAGTTCCTTGATTGTATATCAATCAAATTGGCAGCCTCCTTGTACGTTGCAATAATCGTAGGAAAGTTGTTTGCCTTCGGTGAAATTTCCGATTGAGATTCACGTACGCAAACATTTCTAGTTATATCCATGCGATAAACCTGTGGAATAATCAATCAAAAATTAGGACAAATCTTTAATTCCATCAGTGGAGTGATGTTTCATATATAGAAAGCTATTATATTAATATTTACTGATTTCATAGAACATGAGCTTAAATTTAAAAACCAATTTATAGTCTTAGTTTTCTAGAGCTTAAATTTTAGTGCTCTCAAAACTCATATATGTGAATAATAAAGAAAAAGTTAAAAAATCCGGAAAACTTAATTAAAGCACAGTGGAATCCGGTTAAACCGACGCTCAAGGGACCGACGATTGTACGTCGCTATACCCGGAGGACGCTTAAACCAGAAAACAAATATTTCTTTCTTCTTTTTTACAGTTGCCATGTTCGTAATAGGGTTTAAGCACCAACCATGTCTGGTTAGTGGCTCAACATAAAACAATTTAACTTTTTAATCTAAACATAAATCTTTATAAATTTCTTTCAATATTATAAAAATTTGTTTAAATATTTCTGAGACTTAGGCATTGTAGTTTGTCTTTCTCTCTCTCTCTATCCTAGCAGCATTTGTGCGGCTGCAAGGGCACGTCGTAATAGCCAGTAAATGGCTGCAAAATATGAAAAAAATCGTCGTGATAAGCGGATTGTTGTTAAAAGCGCAAAACGTACTAAGCGGAGGCTCCTTCATATAAGTTTGTATGGGGACCAACCAAGACATCGAATTTTCGACATAACCGGTTGAGCGCCTTAAACGTAGTTGTTATAACCGGATTCCACTGTATATTTAAATTTGGATCTGGGCGTCGAACGGAGTTTCATCTGGCGTATAGTATAATATAGGCTACCTACTAGTGTGACCGTCCCGACTTATTCTAACATTTTAAGTCTCTAGCTCTTATAGATTTCGACTCGAAATTTTCGAGTGTGGGTAATATTATGACAATCTTAATGAAACTTTCAGAGCATGATTATATGACTAGTGTGTGTATATTCCAAAGCATAAGTCTCTAGAACTTGAAATACGTTTTTTACAAATTGGGGGCGAAGAGGGCGTGGTGTACAAAATCTGTACGCGACAAAATCTTTGTATTCATCAAATGTATATACAGAGTAAATCTGAAGTCTCCAAGTTTAAAAGTTTTAAAATTAGGCTGAAAAAAACAAAATCAATTTTTCGATTATTCTCGATAAAAAGTTATCGGATGAGTTATCGAAAGAAATATGATGATAATGGTATAGACGAGTATGCATGCGAAATTTCAGCTCTTTAGCTTTTATAACTTCTGAGATCGACGCACTCATACGGACGGACGGACGGACAGACGGACAGGGCTATATCGATTCAGCTCACCATCCTGATCAAGAATATATACTTTATGGGGTCTGCGATGATTCCTTCTGCCCGTTACATACTTTTTCACAAAACCTTTATAACCTGTTTTCCCATTTTCAATGGGTTCAGGGTGTAAAAAAAAAAAAAAAAAAAACTTTTGAGAGTTTTTTATTGTTTTTAATAGATAAACGTGTATATATACAGATTCATCTAGTATGTTCTATATGAAGAGGTCACTTCATTATTCCAGTAATCAAGACTTGACCCAAATGCTTCAGGTGTTGCATAGACACAACGCTCAATATGAAACATGCACACATATAGCTAACACACTACTATATCTACACATAAATATATTTAACATATAGTATGAATAAGTTGGGGTTAAGCTTACAGTGTCATCGAAGGCCGCTTGTTGCACAGCAGGTGGCTCTAGATCTTTTCGTAATACATTACCCATTGCAGGCTCTGACCAGCAGTGCGGTATCGACATTTGCAAAGTCTCATAGTTCTCAATTCCAGCTATGTTAAGTGTGTATCTATATATACATATTGGCATTTTGGGGAGATTATTATACAACTAATAGAATTACATTTGCATATAGGCTTGGCAATGTATTTAACAGGTGTAAGAAAGTTGCAGCTATTGGCTTTTTGTTTTGAGCATAAGAGCTAGATATTTGAGCTGAATCATTCACCACATTCATAGTTCAAATTGGATCTACCTACACATTCTTTCTATCAAAAAAGTTTGTTTTCTGTTCACTTTCTGATGATTTCCTCATAAAGTCATGTCAACATACCAAAAATGTGGCGTTAAGAGCCTCAGTAGGCTTCACGAAGAACAATGATCTAACTGCAAGCTAACTCTCAAACTAATGTTTATTTATTTGTTGCGAAACATGACATATGAGGAAGTACTTTAAGCGGACCAGTACTCCCTTATCATAATGGTAGGAGAGATCTAAGTAAGGGGTGTGGAATATTGCAGCGACTGCGCGTGGACGGCGCTGCAGTGAGGGCAATATTATGAGAATTTATTTGTTGAATAAATTATCTTGCAGTAGGACTATCTTTATGAAAGCGATCATATAGTTAAAATGTGTGTACATTCCAAAGCACAAGTCTCTAGTACTTGAAATACGTTTTTTACAAATTGGGGGCGAAGGGGGCGTGGTAAAATCTGTAAATTACAAAATCTTCGTATCTATCAAGTGTATATACACAATAAATCTCCAGGTCTAAACGTGTTCAAATAAAGGCTGAATAAGGCTGATTTTTCGATTATTCTCGACTAAGAAGCTATCGGAATATATATATACTTTACGGAGTCTGCGATGATTCTTTCTGCCTGTTACATACTTTTCACAAAACCTGATTTCCCATTTTCAATGGGTTCAGGGTATAAAAAGGTAGCCTCAGCTCAAGAAAGGAATCGTTCAATATTGATGGACGGTCGTCCGCTCAAGCTGACGACACTGACACATGACACTGCAACATTCTTTCCTGTTTCTTTAGAAGAGCAATCTAGGATTGAAGAATTTAATTGAGACTGTGGGCAGGAGTCTTGATCCCTTTGCCCATGCTCTATTGTTTAACAGATTTTGAAATAGAGTTGGTTTTGCACTTACCTCTTAACGTTTTCATTGTCAGATGGGTTTGCTTTTGGATCGCCATTACAGGTTACGACTAAGTTCGTGTTTCTGCGTATTAACGGCAAAGATACGTCCGCTTTAGCAAATTGATCCAAATTTGGTTGTGACTGCGAGGCAAAAGGTTTTGGGATACTTTACATGTGGTAGATACAACAGAAACTTTGTGTAGCTCGAGCGTAAGCACATACATATATAATATTACTCATAAAATATGATCGGATTGTCTTCAGAATTGACTTACAGAACTGGCGGACTTGAAAGGAGCTAAAAGTAAAAGTGCTCTTGTCGGAAGAAACCGACTATCGGGCTGTCTAGAGCTGCTGCTGAAGACGCACTTCATACGCATACACCGGTTAGGCATCGAGGTGTAATCGAAATATCTGTCTCGTTATTGATCTCACAGGAGGCACTAAAATCCTTAGAGCATTTTCTTGGAACACAGTTCGCATATACAGATGCAGTAAATTGTAATTATAATATGGGTATATATAAGAATGAGGCGGATAAATGTGAGTGTGAACCCGTATTGAACATATTCTAATCAGGGAGCCCCAATAGGAGATGCGCCAAGCACAAGAAAATGATCTTTTGCTTTATAAAATTATCCTGAGCTCGCATGCTCAACAGGTTCGAAGTATATGAATTGGCTATTGAGTGGACATTCGAAGCATTTAAGATTAATTATATGAATTGATAGTGCCTCGGCGAAACTGTATGTATAGATACACAACATATGACATGCGGAGCCTTTGAAGCATATGAATATTGCATATATATTGCATATAGTATATATAGTTACCGGCGGCTCCTGTTTCCATTCGTTGTCGGTTGTATCTTCTGAGTCGTCGAATTGGCTCTTCCATTGGGAGGCGAGGGTTAGAGCTCCGCCACCTTTGGTTACCTGTTGTAGTGCCGAGACATTCTCATCGTCGATTAAAGCAAATTGTGTTACCGAATGATCGCCAGCCGCTGTTGTTGTTCCAGTTCCTATTCCCGTTCCCGAGCCTATTGCCGCTGCCAATGCATTACTTTTCGCTGAGATAATGCCGATGGCCGCTGCACGCTGGTTGGACGAGGGCAAACCTATAGACGATGATAGACGTAGATTGGTCGAGGTGGCCGAGCGACGGTTTGTTGGCGATATGCCAAAGATCTGCTCGCGCTGGCATATGAGACTCTTGTTATGACTCAAACTGGCATTCGATTCTTGATTCTGATTCAGGTTCTCCTGATCATTCAGCGCGGCTGCCGGAGCAGCCAGCACCCGAAGGCGACCGTAAGTTGATTTCTGCTCGACTAGATTGGCGCTGTTCGAGTGCCAGCACCGTTTACTCTCGCTGCTCTTGTCAGCTGCTGGTTGATTATTACTCGAGCTCTCAAGACTTTCCACTTTTGTGATCTTGCTCGATTGCTTCGGCTGCTGCTGCGGCTGCTGGTTATGCTCTCCCCCTAGAGATCTGCTATTGCCGCCCTCCGCACTGATGAAACGGCTACTTTTATCAGCGGCATCCATGTTAACTTTGCCGTCAATTGTTTTCACAATATTCGACAGCGCTTGAGCTGCCATAGTTTTACTCTCCGGATACTGTTCAAAAAGGCAAAATACATATACCCATATCTTTCTATAATCTGGTTTTTAGCACTTACATAAACTGGCGCAGAATTGTTTTGGTTGGTCGTGGCATATGAGCCGGAGACGCTCTGAGGCTGACGTTTCCCGTGCGAAGGCTTCAACTGCACCTCATTGTTCACGATACTCACAGTAGAGGTTTTGATCAGTGCACTAGGAAGATTAGGTGGAGCTATCGATGTGTTCGACACCAGCACAAGTTGTTGTTGCTGTTGCTGCTGTTGTTGTTGCTGCTGTTGTTGTTGCTGCTGCTGTTGTTGCTGATGCTTTAGTAAATTGTTTGGATTTCCTAAATTAACGTTTTGCACAACGCAATCCGCCGAGGCTTGAGGTGTCATTGTGGCATTGCAATTCTTATCAACCTGAAAGTACGTGCCATGTATATTTGACTATGTTATAGAAGCTCCCAATGCGCCCAAATAATAATTTCTTGTCGTTCCAGATGGAGTCTAGAAGTCGATTTCTAAAAGTTTTAAGTTCTGTTCTTTTCGAAATACCCTTGAATTAAACCTAAACGATCCACTAGATAGACTTTTTGAATGGCAACAATTTAAAAGAAAATATTCAGCAACTTTAGTAGGATATCAAGGAATATTTGTAAATTTCGTTCTGTTCAAAAAATATAGACAGATTTTTCAAAACCTTTATACCTATTTTTATGTCATAGGAAAATGAACTTTTCGAAAATTTGATTCGATGATTCTGAGACGGATTTAGCGAGACAGAAAAGTGGAGAAATAGAAAAGTCTGAATCGTGTTGAGTCCCAGTCAATTTCAAGTTGGGTTCCGTTTTACCTTTTCCTTTATATGCAGGGGCTCCGTTGAGGCCATCTGCGCAGTGTCTATATCGTTTCTCTTGCGCACCTACAATACACACCCATAGCTTAGATGATGTTCTTTAAAGACGTTCTCGACTGCACTTACATAATCTGCGCCGCTGGCATTAGAAGCAGCCACCGTCATTTGTGTTACATTTCCGTGCATATACTCGTTCTTAGCCGGAGTCAAAGTGGCATTTGTCGAAGCGTTTATGTTACCAACTGCGGCTGTATCCACTTTCTCCCAGTCGTACGGATCAGCTTCCTTAACGCCACGTCGCTTCATACACCGCTCGAATAGACCAATCAACATCTGGCAATGGAAATATATAAATATAGAGGAGGTAGATATTTATATAGTGATAAATATAAAAAATATATGGTTAAAAATGAAATTCAATTGATGGGCTTAGAAATATTTACCGCATAGTCCGGCCGATCGGCGTACGTAAGGGATTGTATGTGCTCCAGGAATTGCTTCAGGTCGGACGGCAGATGCTTTAATAATATTCTATGGTCATATTTCTCTTTGGTCAGTCCGACTTGTTCCTTGTCTTTGATCTTCCTCCATGGCAATTGACCATTAACAAATTCGACGAGCATATAGAATAATGACCATAGATCATCATGCCGACCCATTTCTCGATTGCGATGCGCGTTTATGGAGGCATATCGCACAGTTCCTCGAAATCCAGCTGCTGCTCGGGGACAGCGAACTTCTCCGGTGCCCGTCGTATATTGCCGAGCCAGACCAAAGTCGAGCATATATACTCGTCGACAATTGTAGGGCAAACGTCCCACAGAAAAGTTGCTCTATAAAATTTTCGAATAGCATTATGTTAGCCCTACGAATTATAGCCATTCACATTTCAAAAGCATTCCTTATAATTTGTGAATATTATATTTGATACTGACGGACCGACGAAAGTATCACGGACCTTGGCAGCAAGGCATTATAATATCACTTGAAGGTCGGGAATGCAGAGTATAGTACAGGTGGGGAATGGGAGAGTATCAGCTTACCGGTTTGATGTCGCGATGTAGGAAGCCAACCGAATGTATGGACTCAATGGCTTTGAGGATTTGCAAGCCAAGCCTGAGGGTTGTACTGAGGGAAAATGCGCCCCTTGGCTGGGCTCGTCTCAGTTCAGCTAAGTTTTTACCCTGAAGCTGCATGACCACATAGTTGAATCGGTCATTTCGTCCACACCCGATGAAGCGACAGACGTGTTCCTTGCCTTGCAGCTTCTTCAGCACGGCCACCTCCATTTTGAGTACCTGCTTGGGTTGTCGGGCGGACTCCACCTTAAGCGCCACTTGCTCACGGGTAATCAAATCTTGGCCCTCATAAATCTCACCGAAACCGCCGCCACCAATTTTGCGTACAACCTATAAAGGATTTCAAATATGCATTAAATGGGGTTAAGGAATAAAATCAGTCTCTCTGTTCTCTCTCTCTCGCTCTCCCTCTCTCTCTCTCTCTCTCTCGCAATCCTACCTTCCAACGCTCCTTAACCACATGTCCTGGCTGTAAAAGATCCTCAGACGTCATTTTGCTTGTTTCCTTCGGCAATGCGGCGTTGTTGCTGCTGTCTAAGTGAGGTGTTGCAAGAGGGACTGCAGGGGTCTGTGGTATCTTGAAGGTGACGCGACTTCGTACACCTAAACGATTGTGTTTCGCTGGCAATGTGGCAGATCGCTGCAATGCATTTGCGTGCGGAAATTTCGGGTCTCCCGATGAGTCAGCAACTGCAGGGCCACCGGTGCGAAGATTCTGAAAAAATAACGCTGGCTCTAACGTAGGCGGCGGCTTCGATGGGGGCGGTGGCTGCAATCGCTCTATATAATTGGGACTATCATCAATGTATAATCGCTGTGGATGCGCTTGGACTTGGTGTAGTCGTATGCCTTTAGCTTGAGCTTTGTGGATCCTATGTGAAACGGCGACATTTTCGTCATTTCTTAAAATATAAAAGAATCACAAATTGCAGTAACGGTATCCTTGTTAAGGGTTAGCTCAAAGTTATACGATTAATTAATCGGCAATCGTTAGGAGTGAAAAATAGGGAAGAAATAATGTCGTTTCTATATAAATGAAATTCGGAACATATGTATATATCAGTGTATATATTCATATATGTTATTTAATTTTATTTGCATATATGTATATATGTATGTATGTATATATACATATAATATATATGTGTATATGTACATACATTTGCATAATCTTTCTCTTGAGAGGACCTCAAATGAAAAAATGTAATTTAAACTTAAAAGGAAGTGACTAAAGAAGTTTACCTTAGTTATTTACTGAAATGCCACATGACTAGGAATCCCCTGGCAGAACACGTAATGCAAATAAATAAGCTCAAATATGTATGTATGTGGCCTAATAGTTGCAAAATTGAAAAGCTATTGAAACACTTGAATGTCCTTTGGGTTTTTGGCACTTAACTCTTTTAATATTGCTCGGATTGACAAAGAATTGAATTATTTAGCAATGATTGTTAACGGAGCTGCGCTTGCCATATTATTTAAATGCGAACAAAAAATTCTCGTATTGATTGCAAAGCTCGCTGAGCTCTGTTCACAAGCAGAGCTTTTCTACTTAACAAAAACAACCAAAGGAAGCACGGCGGAGCGTGCGAGAGAGAACAACTGTGTGCATGGGCATGTGTGTGAGTATGTATGTATGTGTGTGTTGCGTGTGAGCTATTCAAAATGACAGTTGCCAATGGTTACAACGAATTCGTCACCAGCTGCACCCTTAAAGCAGCGCATGCGCCTGGACTTGCACAGTCAGCGAGTGTTATATCAGTGAGCTTATGTTTGTCATTTTGGCAGCAAGGCTGACATTAGTTTTCTCTCAACTCTAGTAAATAATAAATTTGCGGTAAAGAATCAACGTATTTTTTAATACATATTCATGCAAAACTGATTTTATTTTCTCAATTATCTACGTACAGGAATTTGTGGAAATGGAATGGAATATGCAAATATATACTTTTTTATTTGAGCGTTTGTTCTTTGCTAAACAGAATTTACATGGTATTCCTGTGCAAATTTCACCTAAAAACTAAGTTCGTTTAAAAAAATTTCATTTCAAAAATATAAGATACGTTTTTAATTTTGAACATTTCCATTATTCCTTTATTTAGCAGTCAAACGGAGGCGTATATATATTTACTCTTACTTAGGCCGATGAACTGAATAAATTTAGACCTGTCCGTCAGTCTGTATGCTTGAACGCATCGATCTTAAAAAATATAAGAGCTAGGGCTTAAAATATTGTTCGATAACTACTCCCGTTTTTTCGATTAAAGGCCTTTTCCAAAAACAGTTATAAAATTATATATCCTACATCTTTAGAGCTAGAGTTTCGAAATTCATTTTCTGTTATAATTCACACCCACAACTAAATCTATCCCCTTCCCACAACATTTGTAAAAAGCGTATTTCAAATACTAGAGAGCTGTGCAAATAAACACAATTTAAGTCCTTTGATAATAGCTGAAATACTATTTGGGTTGATGAATTCAGTCATTCTACGGCTATTATCACGCTCTGAAGGAGTGAAGATAGGGTACTACCTACAAGAGGATTTTTTAACACTTTATAATATAGTCCAAGCCAAATCTCGTCTAGAGCTTTCTTACTTGGTGAATTTCACATAGATAATATGATGCTTATGTAGATGTAGATTTGGATATAGATGTACTATTAATACGACTTGAAAATACTTACCTATTACTCTCCTGTAAATGCATTTGATGCTTTTTTCTCTTTTTGTTCTTCAGGTAATTTTAGCTATAAAAGATATTACACAATGGGCCTCCAGCCGATCAACTATATATTAAAAATGGTGAATTATTAGATTATATCACATGTTGTCTATTTTCAAAGATAATAACAGTTTTGTTAAACTAATTATAATTAATTATTTATGTAATTCATATATCTATTAAATATATATATTTTTTGTTTTTAGATTGTTTTTTTTTTTTTTTTTAATATTTGTTTATTTAATTTATCACTAATCTTGGTAAACGTTCTGTGTATAAGTGTGTGTGCCTGAAATATTCTATTTTTAAATATATATATTTTGATCGATTTAATTTTAGAGAAAGAGACAGACAAAAACAAAAAGTGTGAACCAAATATTTCGTTGACGATATGAAGCACGTGTCACAAAATTCAAAACTCACTAAAAAATTAAAATAATAGAAATAATAACGTTGTAAATCTCAAAACTAAAATCGAATAATGAAAAGCGTTCAACAATCGGAAAATGAAAATTCAACGGTTTTGTTTTTGTATTTTATTTATTTTTTTTATTTGTTAGTTTCTATTTATACCAAAAAGAAGAATGGTACTCTCTTTTGAAAATATATACAAATCCATTTGAAGCGGATTTGGGAGAGTTGTTGACTCAATGTGTTTTCTACTTTTCCGTTTTCGCAGAGCTTTTCTCACATACATACGAGATTGTTCACTGAAAAGTTTCGACTGAAACGTTTTCTCTTGTATGCCAACTCATATACACACGAATTTTGTTCGTATTTCGTATATCGTATAAAGGTACGGAATGCATACAAAAATATATATGTCTATCTAAAAATATATGAGTATTTTATGAATAGTCATATGAAAATAAGATATTCGCTTGCTAATCAAATATATAAGTCAACTCTAATTTAAAACAATGAATGATAATGTTAAGTTTTTCTACTATTTCAAAGCATAGAGCCTATGGAATCAAAATAAAACAAGTACATTAAGTATAAGAGCAATATATACAAAATGAAGAAATGAATATATAAATGAAGAAATATATACATATATGAAAAACTAAATATAATAGAGTATTTCTTAAATTAAATAAATACAAATTGTAAAATACTTAAAAAAAAAAAATTTTAAATTAAATAATAAAAAAAACCTAAATTTTGCTGAACAAAATTATTGGCACACTTAGTATTTTTCTTAAATTTTCACCGATTGGGCAACATTGTTTTGGAAATTTCACCATCTGTTATGTTCCGTTATTTGCGTTGCGTGTTGGGCGTTCCGCGCAGTGCTGCCAACTTTTCCGGGCAAAAGAATGCTAAATTACCCTTTCGAACCTGCTTGAAACGGCTAGATCAAATTCAAGAATAGGCAGGAATATAGCCGTTTCAGTTTTTATATAAAAGTACATATATATATATTCTTGATCAGGGCGACGAACTGAGTCGATTTAGCCCGGTCCGTCTGTCTGGCAGCCAATGGGTCTTTATCCGAGCGTGCGTATGTGTGTGCGTGCATGTATGTGTGCATGTGTTGTTTCTTGGGTAGGCAAAAATATCAGTTGCTCGAAGGCTTCAGGGGATCTCGTACTCTAGCAGTCTCGACTAAAACTTTCTTACTTGTTATGAATCATATTTTTATTCGAAAATTGACACACGATTATCGAGCTCAATAAAATAAATTTTCTTCTCGGCAGTGTATGAATTGCTTGTGCCAATAATATTCAAGTAAAAAAAAGCTGAAATTTTGTGAAAAAGTCGGACAAAAAAGCTGATGGTTTTTGTAACTAGAAGTCATGGCTGCATTTCTTCAACCGTGGCAAGCCGTATCTGTAAAGTTTTACGCTATATAGGTTTTACCTGACGCTTAAAATTGAGTAAGCATATCAATATTCATTTTATTGCGTTGTTATGTTTTTACAGTATTGACCTGACTAAAACTTTTCGCCACTTGCGCGTTCGACCATGGCAAGGAAAGCAATGCCATTGCAAAAGTTGCCAAGTCCCTACATTTTTTATTTCCTCCCGAATTCTTATAAGCACACCTCTTACCCTAAGCTATGTAGAGTCTTAAGAATTTCCCCATTAAACTGGGAGAATATTCTTATATTGGTGTTCAATACTTTCAAAATTCTTTGAATAGAATAACTCTAGTATTGGAACGATACTATTTTCATTTACTCGCAAAATATATACATATGCAAGAAATAGAATTTTACACCATTTGAAAATTTGCCGGCAGCCTATTAATTAAAACATATTTAGTTAACACAAACTACTACTACATGTTATCAAATGAGTTGCATACATTCTTTTTAATTGCTTTATAAGATCTATCAGAGAATTTCAAGTTCGATATTCTTGCTTAAATAAGTTATATTGAATAAAATATAAATCATATTTTAGTTCAGTTAGTTCCACTCTATTATCGGTTGGTTCATTCATAGAAAATTGACCTAATTAACTATTTAGTTTTAATTAAACTGCATTGACAAACACTTCTACATACGATAAATCGCTACAAATGATGATAAATTGATCAGTAAAGAAAAAAGCTGAAAAAAAGCAAATTAGTTTTTTAAAAATCCAGAATTCCCGCTGCCCGCTGTTTTGTAATTTTTCCCGCAATTAGATTTTCAAAAAAGTCAGATTTGACGGGAAAAAAGCTGATTTGGCAACAGTGATAAAAATTGTGCTATGCTCTCTCTATCGCTCTCACTTTTGACGAGAGCCGTAGCAGAACCGTAGCAGAGCCGTAGCAGAGCCGTAGCAGAGCCGTAGCAGAGCCGTAGCCTAACATTAAAAAGCTTGTGCTCTGCTCTGCTCTCGTACTTCGTTGTGTTAAAATCTGTAGCGATAGCAATAGCACAAAACGCTCTGCCGTAGCGGTAGCTGAAAACAGAGAGCGAGATGAAATCATAAAAAGATGAGTACAGAGCCAGATGAGAACAGAGCGAGATGAGAACAGAGCGAGATGATAACAGAGCGAGATGAGAGTAAAACAAATGTGCTAGAGCGGATTGAGCAGCAGCAGATCTGCTTTGTGTTTGTTTTTATTGCAATTTTTGGTCGGTTTTCAAAATGCACCGTTACTTTTTTCATATTGCTTTGTAGTAGACTGAAAATTTGGCACTTCAATGTATTGATTCAATGTGCAAACATGCCACCACAAAAAACTAATTTTACTATTAATAAATATTTCGATGCAAGTGATGACGATTACTTTCAATGCAAAAAATGCGAAGGACTTACGACTTTAAGATCGTGTTTTTAATTTAAAAAAGCATTTATTGTTGCACGAAATTGAAATCGATGATAAAGGAAGTGAGATTAGTGATTCTGTTGACACTTCTGAAAATTTAAAACATCAACTAGTAAAAGTGAAAATCAACAGAAAAACATTAGTTCGGTCATATGTATATTGGCCTTGTAACTGAAGAACAAAAATTGCAATAAAAACAAACACAAAGCAGATCTGCTGCTGCTCAATCCGCTCTAGCACATTTGTTTTACTCTCATCTCGCTCTGTTATCATCTCGCTCTGTTCTCATCTGGCTCTGTACTCATCTTGTTATGATTTCATCTCGCTCTCTGTTTTCAGCTACCGCTACGGCAGAGCGTTTTGTGCTATTGCTATCGCTACAGATTTTAACACAACGAAGTACGAGAGCAGAGCAGAGCACAAGCTTTTTATTGTTAGGCTGCGGCTCTGCTACGGCTCTCGTCAAAAATGAGAGCGGTATCGAGAGCAAAACGAAAAACTACGGAGTAGCGTAGCATTTTTCAAACGCTGCTTTAAATAAGGCTGATTTGATCTCTAAAAATTGCCAAATTTCCCGCCAGCAACTAGATTACAATTTTGTCTGCCATTGGCAGTTTAAAAAGGCCAGATCAGGCCGGTAAAAGGCTAAGTTGACAGCCCTGGTTCCGCGCAATACTCAGTGCCACCCTGCCAGGTCTGGAAACTACTAAATCAAGATCCAGTGCTGCAAAGCGGCAAAGCTCAGCTAATTATTCATCTAACGTTAATATAAATTTAATGCAACATAGGCAGATTGCCTATGATTATCGTCGTTTGATTTTTGTAGGTTATAAATTGATATACTTCACTTTCTAAAAATTTTAACATAACATATTTTATTTTCAGTAGGTGCTAAAAGTTTTATCGATATATTCGCGAGTGAAAGCTGACTGCTATAAATATAAAACGGACCGCCGTGTATGAATAAATCAATACACAAGTTATCGGCGCGCACTCGAATAAAATTAGTTTAGTATCTGCATGATATTTCTTCTTGTTTATTATCATATTCATTCACTTTCAGAATATATGGGAATTAATAAAAAGTGTATGTTTGTTTATGTTATATTCAATCGATTATCAATTATAATTATACTGCTCAATTCTGTTCTATTCTCCGATAAAAAGCACAATAGTTTGTTAAAAAAATCATAATTTAGAAAAAAAGAGTAAATATAATTATGAAACACATAATGTGTCGTGTTTATTGATCATAAAGACGTTGCGTTCATTTTCCAGTTTTCTTTTGGGTGTATTGGAAAATTCAAAATGATTTCTGCATAAAATAACGCAGAAAACAAGTAAGAAAGCTCTAGTTGAAACTACTCGACTTCGAGATCCCCTGAGCCCTTCGAGCAACTCATATTTCAGCTTACAAAAGAAACAGCACAAGCACAAACACTGGCATGCGCAAGCACGCATAAACACGAATTGGCTGAAGTGTGGGCCTACTATCGGAACCTAATAACTTTTCTTGTAAATGACTATCTTTATGAAACTTTCATAACATTAAAATGCTTGCATTTGCCAAATCTCAAGTCTCTAGTATTTGAAGTACTACCTTTAAAAATTTTTGTTGAGGAGGGGGTGGATATAGGGGTGGGGGTGAATTATAGCAAAAATCGAGACTATATAATACATATGAGCCTACATTTACAAGGACGACTCTAGTTCCAAATGTGTAATTTTCAATAAGGTTTTTAATCAATCGTGATATACACGGACGTAGGAAAAAATGCAAGTCTCTAGCGCTTATATCTTC